TGAGGCTTGGGTAACACTAGCGTCTCCAGAACAGACAGTGGGGTCCTCCATATAGCAGGTATAGCAACACTGAGGGAAAATGGCAGTTTAAAAATTAAATGCTTTTTAATTCTAGAGACTGAAAGACAATTCACATTGGGGGAGGCTGTTGGAGATCTCTATCATTACAGTTCCCGCATCAGCATCATAAAAAAAAAAATCTGGTGAAAATGGAGAAGAGGAAATTTGAAATACGCTTACGGAATGCTATGTCCAGCTGTCCCAGGTTTTTTATTGGACATGGAATGTTTAGATACTAACTTTAACCATGTGTCCTTGTCTTAGACCACAAGAGAAGGTTCTTAATAGCTCTGCTGTTGCGTCTGGCTTTGCTTTATGTTCTTATATAGCATGAATAGCCTCCCTTTTCCTGTAGTCTGCTGGTTTCAGTTGACTGCCATTTCTACAGTTTAAGTTCGGTTTAGCACAACAGCTGCGTGGCAAGCAACAGAGCCTAGTCCACGGAAGAGAGATGTTGTTGCTTAACATCATAAGGGATGCCCTATTCCCTTCGCAGTGAATGTTATTACAGGAAAAACACTCAAGCATCACAATAACCACTGAAGCATTTTGATGGGAACCAGAGACTCCAGGCGGTTCCCTTTTTCCCCTCTTTCTTTTCATTCTCTCTTTTTTTTTCAGTTCTATCTGCTCCAGCACACTTTATTGCTTATGCTTGCCTGGTTGTCTAATCATCAAACCAGGAGGCAATTGTTAATTAATCTGATTACAAACAAGCCAGGACAGTATTTGCTCTCTATTTCATGTGCACAATGATAGCCCTCCATCATGCTACACTGTTCTCATCTCAGCCATTCAGCAGGAAGCAACTGACAGCAAAGCGTATAAAAATAAATGTAAGTCCCATTGTGAATGGGTAATCTGGATTCACTGAGGCTCTGGGCTCACTTCCATTTATCTAAGTTAGAGAAGAATAATTTTTATTGCATTATAAAAAAAAAAGGCAACTGCTGCCCGAGCCATTCATGTCTTTTCATATTTATTTGGGAGCTTGCAATTCAGGGATTTATGTCTTTTTTGTTTAGTTTTGTTGTTTGTTTTTGCCTGGAAGAACGTAAAATGTTGAAGGGCGCAAGAGATATTGTTAAACTCTATTATTCTTTTAAAGACGAGACTGTGATAATGTTTGAACAAAAAGTGTTCTGCAGATTTCAGTGCTGAAGCTCTTCTAAGACTAATTTCAAAATCACCAGTGTTTATTGATGGGGACAAGCATCACAGGAACCTTTCTGCCTGTATCTCAGAGAGAAGGTTAGATTGAACCTTTCACTGGCCAGACATTTTTGTTAATTAGGTGAGGGAGTGACATATACAGGCACCTCCAAGTTCGCATAAGCAAGGAAAAATAATTCTGCTCCAGTGCAATATGTCATGGCACGATGCAGGAGAGTTGTCTTTCATTTCTAACAGTATTAACTAAGGATATGAAGGATTTACGAAATGTTCTACTGAAACTGGGGGGATTTAGTTGGTAGAAAAATAAAGGGAAAACAGAATATGTAATAATGCTAAAAGAAGAAGGGAAAACTGCTCCTTTTGCTGTATCTCAAAAATAAGGCAGGTGGGGAGGTGGTTTCTACTGTCAAGAAAGTCAAGGTCTCAAGAAGCAAGGAAGGGGACTCCTGACTTTTCACTGCCACCTCCCAAGCAGAGATTCTCCCCCACCCCATCTCCCACCACAGCAATTCCTGCCCTTACTTCCACCCTTGCTGGAGAGCAGTGTTGTTGCCCCGAGGTCAATTCTCACAAACTCCTTAAAAGCAAGATACACAAAAACCACCCCCAAGCGAAACATTCCTGCCCCCCCCCCCGTACAGCATATAACTTCTTTGCCACTTGTACCCCTTAACATGTTTCTAAATTGTGGCTTCTGAAAAGGAGCCCATCCAGGAATTTTTCTCTTTGCTAGGATGGGTCTGCAAAAGCTGTTAGCTAGTTTTTGGCATGTGGATCTTACAGTTTCTTTCTGGGCAAAACAAAAAAACTTGAGGGGGCAGTTTGAGATTCATAACAACTGATTTCAACCATCAAGCCCAGTTTTATGGCCATTTCCTGGCATTATGTGAACCTCCTAAGGTTACTAAATTGCCACACTTAACATCTCTTAATGGTAGCCATGCTGGCTGAGGATGCTGAGAGTTGTAGTTGAGCAATCAGGGCAACCCATATTTCCTCCCCCTAGTGTACTGCTTCTCTTCCAGTATAGAAATCAGTCCTTCCATCTAGTAATCTTAGACCCTAGATCTAGTGGTTTTGTAAGAGCCTCTTCACTCTGCCATTTTATTGCTTTTACTTTTAAGCCCACTTCTAACGTTTCTCTTCTCTCTCCCCTTCCTCCATCCCATGTTATAACCACTTCTGTGCTCAAGGTGTAGTAGGACAAATCCAAAACTACAGGAGTAAAAGGGAGTCTGATTATGCTCCCCAGTGCTCACACTGGAGTAGTATTTGGGTTTAGAAAAAACAACTCAAAGTAAAATGGGAATCTGTAATCCATATTTTTTCCCTGGACACTCGAAGTGAAAGTTGGACACTGAAGACGCAGGATAGAAAGAGTGTTGATGCTTTTGAACTTTGGTGTTGGAGAAGACTCCTGATAGTACCTTGGATAGCCAAGAAAACAAACAGATCATCGAACAAATCAGCCCAGAGCTATCATAGTTCAGAAGTCTCATACCTCAGACACATTATGCAAAGACCTAGCTCTCTGGAGAAGTCTATAATGCTGGGAGATGTGAAAGAAAAGAGAAGAGGACAACCAACAGCAAAGTGGATGGACTCAGCTACAGTGGAGATAGGTGCACCGTGGGAACAAGGATCAAGTGGAGAACAGATTCTCCTGGAGAAAATAAATCTATGTGGTCGCTAAGAGTTGACGCTGACTTGATGGCACATAAGCAAGTAAGAAAGCAAGCTGTAATTTATAGATTTATCTGAAATCTATCATTTATTGGCCACCTGACCAACTAACATATTAACATATTAACATGTAAGGCCAGATTAGAGAGTCCATTTGTTATTCCCTCATCTCACACACTCTGTTATTTGGGGACCTCTTGGATTTTGACACTCAGGAGCAAATCCTAGCTGCACAGGAAGTGATGGCATAGCCCTGCAAAGACTGATTGTAGGTAGATCCTTATTGGACAGCCACTCCTCGGGTACCTACCTGTAGAGAGTAAGGAAGGTGACCTTGACAGAAATATGTAGGAACCGTTACCTAGTCAAGGGGGCTGAAGCATTCTTTAAGATCTGGGAAACAAGATAATATTCAGAAGTGGCTTAGGTAATGCCTCCCTGATTTCTTCCCTTCCCTGATTCCTGGGGGGGGAGGTACAGCACAATCAGACTTGCAAGATTGTGTTATTACAGCCTATCTCAATAAAGTGTAATTCTATTTTACTTGTGGAGTTGATTTTCTGGTCTAGTCTACCTAGTGGGGTTGACATCGCCTCTATACTTACAGGTAATGGCTATTCATTGTCAACATGAGCTATACCTAGGAACTGATTGTAAAAAGTGGATGCAAAAGCTGTTTCCACACTAGTGAAGGTAGAGAAGGTCACCAAACGCACGATACAAGAGATCCATGAGCAAATTACATCAGATGTCTGAACATCTCAAAGTTGTTTATTTGTTTTACATCAGAATCCCTCACCCCCTTTCACTGGATTGGAACTGCAATATTGAAGGTGCTTTTTTAACACACAAGGCAGCATATGCTGTTTTCTTGCTCTAAATCAAGGATTTTCAAACTCAAACTTTTTCAGGCGGCAGATCTTATTTGAAACAAAACCCAAAAACTCTTGATCAAGACGCAAAAGAATCAGCCATAAACACAAGCATCAAGGGGGGAGGGAGCTTCTGAATGTCAGCTAACAAGCCCTGGCTTTTTCTCTGTACCTTGGAACAATTTCCATAGATAACCATGGCTACTACTCAAGTTCTCATGGGTTCCGCAGAGACCGCAGTTTGAAAACTCTGCTCTAAATCATACTTTATCAGTTGCATGTTCTAGAGAAAGGGATGAGGAGGATAGAAATACTACTCAAACCTTTAAAAGTCCCTGACTCTGTTAACATTTCTTTTTTGAAGTGTGACTCTCCATCTAAACAAGAAAAAAAAAAAGGCTTTACCCACTAGAAAAAGAAAATCATGCAGGAATGAAATGTATGAAATCATACAGCAACCAGGCTACTATCTCCTTTCTGGCTGCCAGTTGAGAGTACAGTAACTACTCGCTTGTAAAGTCAACTGATCTCCTTATCAGGACAGCCACTTGGACAGGATGACCGCTATCGAAAAATAGTTCAGGACTGAAAGATCAAGATGTGTTTTTTTGTTTAAACCCTTAGCTGGGCTCGGTGGGGAATTTACATAACAGCAACTAATTTTGTATCTGCAACTTTCTTTCAGAGATCTTTGTCCTTATTTTTCCAGCAGATCAATTCTGGTGAGAGGTGAATTTCCAATAGTCTCTGCTCCAATAATCTCACTTTAGAAACGGTATTGATGGACTCCTCAAAAGTCTTTGAATCTAAAAAGCCTGGCAAATCGACCCTACTAAAAAAAGACAAGGCCAATTCCTACCGTACTACTGTATCTGCTTTCCACTTCCACCATGAGCAGTGCGGACACGGGTCCACCGTCCTGTATCTTCAGTACCGCAAACTACACAGCAAACGCTTTTATTGTACATGCACGTGTAGCAAACAAACATTACGCGCCTTCGTGGTTCAAGAAAGAAGGCCGTAAAATGGAGGCGGAAGAGTGACTGCGAGGGGTACTTGGGTGGCGATGGGAAGCAATTCAGATGACGGGAGGCTCAGGGCGCAGACGGGCGCTGCTGCCCGACGGAGAAGGCAGGAAGGGTCGAGCCAAACCCCTTCGCACCCGGCGAGGCTGGGCGCTTCCTTCCTGCGACCCGCAAGGGCGGCGGGAGGAAGGGAGCGATGACTGGCGCTGAGGGAGGAGGCCGCGGAGCGCGAGCGCGCCTGGGCTAAACTCCTCTGCCGCGCCAGGGCCTCTCTGGGCTGAGGCGAACTGAGGCTGCGGGAGACATGAACCCGGGGCCCGCTGGAGCGACGCAGGCCCGCCCGCGTCCCCGGTTCCCGCTGCTGCTCCTGTGGGCGCTGCTGCTTCTCCCCCGCTATTCGGAGGAAGAGAAGAAACGGGGTAAGTGTCCGTCGCGGGAGGCCCCAGGCTGAACCCAGCCTTTCGGCTCGGCCTAGCGCTTAACCCGGGGCAGCGCTCCGGCCCCGCGATCTTGGCTTGCGAAGCAGCCGGGGCCGGATTTGGCGGAGGGTTAGGCGGTTAATTACAGGCGGAGCCAGGGTGGATTTCGGCAAAACGCTGACGGCTTCTCTCTGCCTCCCTCCTTCCCCCGCTGCTCTTTGAAACGTCTTGCCGGACGGAGAGCCCCGGAGAACTCGAAAGCTTGGACGGTTAAGGGTAATAGAAGTATTACGCGGTTAACGATTGCGGATTTTTTTCCCCCCGAAAGTCAACATAGCGCAGAAAGGCTGAGGCAAGTAATCTCAAGATGGCAAAACGCAAAGCAGGGCTCCAGCGAGTCCCTACAGCAACATGATAAAGCAGCCGACATGTTGCCCTCCAGATGTTTTGCGGATGCCAGTCATCTGCTCGCTCCTTTGCTGTTCCGCTGTGAATAGTGCTGAGAGAGTATCTCTGGTCATGTGTAGAATGCACGTGGACAGATGGCTTTAGCATGCATCACGTGTCTGTTGTTTTGGAGGGGAAACACATCTGGGTGGGATATGATAAATACAGCCCAGCACTTTAAGAATGAATTCTGCTTTTTCATAAGGTTTTCCACCTTATTCATTCTATTTTTTCCCCTGACTTTCAAGCGTCCTTATGTTCAGTGATGTAAAACCACTGTTAAAAAAATGTAATAGTCACTTAAGCTGTGTCTAGCTTTTGACAAGGCTGGCGCTAATCTTGACAGAAAGAAACACCAAATATGAGCAACAGCAAACTAGGTGGAGGGAGAGATGTTTGTGTGCCACTGGGCTTGCCCAACACCTCCAAAATGAGGATGTTGTCCTGTAACAAGTGTTGCATGCTATTTTCTACATGCTAAAAAGTAGGTGGAAGCCATCCAGCCCTTCATGCCAAGTTGCAAAATTTTCTTCTAGATATGTTACGCAAGCCTTCCCCAATCTGGAAGACTTATACAGGGAGTTTCCAACAGGCCCAGCCAGCTTACCTAGCAGTGAAGGATACTGGGAGTTGCAGTTCAATAATACCCAGAGGATGCCAAAATTCCCTTTCTCCCTTGTTTCTTCAGATGATTCTAATGATTCCTCCTGTGCACACATTTTAAGCTTGTAGTATTTCCCAATCTTAGCAATTTCGGAATATGTAGATTTCAACTCCCAGAATTCTCAGCAACAGATATGCTGGATGGGGAATTCTGGGAGTTGGTCCACATACCTGGAAATTGCCAAGGCTGTGTAACACTGGTGTAGATCATGCTTCTTCCAAATGTGTTGCACTACAACTCAGTATTGATAGCCAGTTAATCCATTGGTGTGCTGACTGTAGATTGTAAGGATCATAATTCAGTGCATTGAATTGTTGCAAATTGTCACTAGCATGACATGATTTATTCTCACAAAAACCATGTGAGATAACATAGTTTGAGACAAAGCAACTGGCCCATGAGGGATTGAACCTAGTTCTCCCCAGTCCTAATCTGACAATGTCCCTTGTGTGTCAGTACAGACTACTAATTACATATTGAGCACCAAGTACATTTCTCTTATTTATTTACTAGATTTAAATCGTGCCTTTCATTCAGGAACCCTAGGCAGTCTACAGAACACTCAAAATTCTAATAATTTAAAACATTTTATTTTAATGCATTTTGAAATGTATACATGATTTTCTCTTCTTTGCTACTCTTTCAGAGTTCACCCTGCTTTTCAGGTACAGTCAGTTAATTACTGTGTCCAGAGGTCTATCATGTATGATCATCAAGATGGAGAGCTCTGGTATTTTCTTTATGCCATTGTACTATTGTTACATTTTGTGACTGCAAACCTCAGAACAAAATTTCTTGCCGGTAAACTCTGAGCAGAACTTGTTTGTCCTACTTCTGTGTAGGCCTTCTGGAAGCAAAGAGGATTAATGTTCTTTTGCAGACACTCTTTACATTATGGCAACGTCCAGAACCTTATGCACAAAATGTGCAGTTAGAGTCAAATGAGACATTAAAAAAAATAACTTTATTAGGATTTTAAACAAGAAAGATGAAAACCAACAGAAACTAATATTTAGAATAAAGAAAGAAGTAAAGAAAGACAAAGACAAAATTGCAGAAAAAAATAAAATATAAAGAAGTAACTTCTGACTTTCTTTTACAGCAGTTATAAGTATACATGTAAATTAACCTCTTACTCTAGGGTTATAGCATAACTTTCATTTTTTCTATAATCTATTGTTTTTTTTCTAATAATCAAAACCATATATCAAACGTTCATTTTTTTCTGCTTCACACAAAAAGTCTTTAAGGGGTTTCCAATCAGTGTTAAACTTAGTTAATGTCTTTTCTCTGATCAAAAATGTCAATTTTGCCATCTCGGCAAGTTCCATCATCATTCCTCCATTGTGGGTCATGTCAAAGAGGATTAATGTTCTTTTGCAAATACTCTTTACGTTATGGCAACTTCCAGAACTTTATGCTCAGTAAGTGCAGTTAGAGTCAAATGAGACATTTTTGAGCTTTTTCTAATACAAACAATGTTAGAAGGATGGAAGGGGATATGATCAGGACTACAGAAGGTCAGGAGGGAGAGTTAAACCTTTCCTCCCTTGCTGGTGTCCTAAAGAAAAGAGCTTTTCTGAAGCTGCGGGATGCATTGGGACTGGAGGAAAGCTTCTCTTTGTGTCAAAGAGCCCTACAGATCAGTAGAATAATTTTAGGATAGTATGTTTGCCTCAAATTTACTCAGTGGGATGCCTGGCAGCATCATAAGTATAGAAGTTAGCACAACAGCTCACCTGGATGCCCTCCTTTTGGACAAGTTGTCCATAAGCCTCTGTTGCTTAGAGTCTACTTTAGACTCCCTTAAAAAATACTAATGTTGTGGCAATTTCCCAGGTCTTTGTGAGAGTGGGTCCACCCAGACATGTCAGTTGAAGAGAATGCTGATGTTGTTATGTCTGTCAGTCAATCAAATCTTTATTACCATCATAGACCAGCATAGGTCTTTTGTGATCCTATACCCTGTGGATTCAGATATTTATGAGCTGTTGGGTCCAGAATTCAATATAAGTCCAATGTTTCTTGTGCTTAGTTGTCTAGATTATAAGGACATGCTGGGAGAATAAAAGCACTATAAATGCTAGCTGTCCAGTGCAAAGGTTTTCAAACTTTTTCAGTCCACAGAACCTGTAAGTTAAAAAAAAACAAAAAACCCTGGAACCCATGATCGAGAAGCAAATTTCTAGTGATAGAAAATTAGCTGTGTTCGACTGAATGGTTTTTTGTTTTGTTTTGGTTTTTTTTGCTCTTAAGCTTTCACAGAATCCCAAGGTTCTGTGGCACAGTTTGAAAAACATGGCCTAAATTAAACAGATTATCTCCCCATCTTAAATTACTTTTTTTTTTTTTTTAACAGAAAACACCAGAGATGTACTTCTTGATGTTTGTGCCACTTGCCACGCAAATGCCACATGCGTACAAAAAGATGGCAAAGACACCTGTGAATGCAATTATGGATTTATTGGAAATGGGAGGACTTTCTGTCATGGTAGGTGAATATTTACAAACTGTATCCAACTTTGGCAGTTCTACAGCAATATGCTTTCAATTACATTGAAAATGTAAGTCAAATCATGCAGGCATAGACAGCTGTTTTGCAACCAGGGACCACAATACTGCAATTTTGGCCTCCCAGGGATGACCATAGGCATGGCCAGCATCACCATGCGGTGTGGGGCTAATAGGCAAAAAGCATGCTTTAAACCTTTAGCTTAATGTACCCACTTTGTTATGTAAACTCCCAGCAAACAGTAAGAATGAGCCCAACCTGAAACTGGAGGTGGTCATTGTTGTTGTTTAAAAGTTGGAATTGATCCTTTAAGCCTCTTCACCCATTTTCCCTTAACTCCCCCTCCCATACCTTCCTAAGCCAAAAACAAGGGCTGATTTTTTTTTTTTTTTTGTCCAGGCACTGAGGACTGCAAGGGTAATTTGCTTTCCAGCTCTGATGGCTAGAGTTTTTCTAGCCTGAGCTAGTTATATTGGAGATAACATGTCCTTTTTCAAGACATTTGCTCTACCACTCAACTATAAATCTTTGGGAGGCTAGGAGGTAATGATGTGATCCTCTGCCTTACAGGGCTGATTTTATATCTGACAAGTTAAGTGTCTGGCTGCACTACAGCCTAGGCCCTTTCCAAAGAGCTGGTTGGTTGCATCCTAGGAGGGCTTTGCAAATCCTTCAGAAGAAGCATCTTATAGTGTGCACAGGTCCTAACAAAACACCTCTCTTTGACTCATCAAAGCAGCCACATTTTCTAAGTTTGCATGACTGCTTCAGAAGCTGCTCCCATGGATCTCTGTGTGCCTATTCATGCACACTCACTTGGCTTTCCTTTTTTTCCCTGTAGATCAGAGGCTGTGCATGGATATGCAAGCAGAGACAGCTAGGAACAGCTTCTCAAGCTGCCATGTGAACTTGGGAAGAAAGTGGCTACTTTAACAATTTGAAGAGAGGTGCTTTGTTTGCACTTCCTTGTGTCACACTGTGAAGCTCTTTTGAACATTTCACACAACAGCACCAAATGGTTTCTAAAATAATAATAATTTATTAAACGTGTATGCTGTCCAACTCTAATCAATTCTGGGCAGTTCACAATTGAAGAAATTACAATAATATCAATAAAACATAAAAGATAAAGGTAGAAGGCAAAAGATGGCAAGTGCAACAGACAGGTAGAACTAAGGGAAGGGTCTCACTGGCCCTCACCAAAGGCCTGGGGCTTTGGTAGGGTTTTGATGATCTCCAGGTCTGGTCCAGGACTTCAACACTGCTCTTCTCAGCAATTGTTCATAAAATATTGCTTCACCATATTCCCAACCTTAAGATAATTTTTGTTGAACAAATTGCATGGTAATCATTCCTGGCATGCAGCTTTCAGTTCTTTTGTTTCAGTTCTTTTACTTCACTATGCCATCACTGCCTGAAAGAGCCTCTTCGTTAGTTAATACAGACAAGTTAATACAATATGGATTTAAAAATAAGTTGTAAGTCAGGCTTTTGATGTGGCAAAATTTCTGAACCATTCTGTCATGCTTTGTGGTCAGGATCTTAAAGAGGCTGAAAGAGTCTCTGTAAAGTCAGTGAATGGGGCTTATTGCTGGTGCTGATGATACCCTCATGCACACATATACATAGAGACACTCTTTTATTCGCACCAGTCTGAGAAGTAAGTTAGACTGAGATGATGAGTTGTCCAAGATCACTTAGTTTACTAACCCAGAAGGGATTAGAATAGACATACCTTATCTGAACTGCAAGAGCCAAGTGATCCCAAGATGGCAACAAAGAGATGTAGAAAATGTATTGTCGAAGGCTCACCCTGGGCACAGAGAGAACTGCTCCTGTCTGTGCTCCTGCACTCTGAAGATGCCGGTCAGAGTGCTGGTGAAACGTGCTGGTGAAACGTG